TAAAATCTAATTGCAACTTAGAACTTAGAAGTTACAATTTACAAATATTAGTGGAGTAACTAATCTACGCAACCACCTTCTAGGAAGGGTTCTGTTTCATTAAGTTCTCATATGTAAATTTAATATTTGTTATAAATATTAGAAGAACAACTAATCTATGCAGCCACCTTCTAGGAAGGGTTCTATTTCAATTAGTTCTCGAATGTAATCAAATATTTATATTCTCCATGAAAATTCAATTGATCTAATTGTCGTATCAAATCGACGATAACATCCTTCGGTGTTGGCAAACTTGCTAAAAACTCTTATGCCTTTAATTCTTCGTCACTAGATCCAATTACCGAATTAATCCAAGCAGTTGTTTGGAAGTTAACTTTGGCAAATTATAATTCCTCCTCTCGCCGTTAACCCAGTCTCTAAATAAAACTGATGTTTTCAAACTTTCTTCCGCCAATGAATGTCTATGATCTCCAAGTTGAAACCTTGTCGCACTAAAAGCAGCCTCCGATGCAACTGATGAAGCTTGAATTGCTAGAACATCACAAATTATTTTGATAAGAATTGGAAATGCAACGCTCCGTCTCCTCTACCATGCTAATATTTCTACATTGCCATTCTCCTAGTCAACTGTTTCTAAAGACTGATTAAGATATTCTTCAAAATCATCATTGTTAGTAGAATTAAGACCAAGAAAGCCTCGCATAAAATTATCAATTTGATCTTTACTATTAGCATTAGAAGTTTGACCAACTTCTCCTTCAGTATTTCCTATATTTCTATATTTTTCATACAAAATTTTTGTTTCTACTTTGATGCTAGACTTACACATTTCACAAATTGAAATTTCTTCCGGTAAAATTTCTAAAGTATCATAAAAAGTTTCAACAAGTCTCTGCACACCTCGTAATTTATATTGAGGGTTAAGTAAAGTAGCAGTTAAATAAATTTGAGGAATAACAAAAAAAGGTGTCAACAAGTCCCTGCACACCTTGTAATTTATAGTCAGGATGAAGTAAAGTAGCAATTAAAAAAAATTGAGGAGTAGGAAAAAAATATTTTTAGAATTTTTCAATCATACATTCAATTGCAACTCTAAATTTGTCAATATTTTTGTATTTAGAAAATGGAATTGAAATAGCACAAATATTTATTAATACTGATGAAATAGTAAGATAATAAATTCCAAAAAACATGGTTGCAGCATAATAAAAAAGTCTTAAAAATTCCAATAGTTCATTAGTTTCTTCCAATCTTCTTCACAAATTCTATCTAATGGGCCAACATTATGAGCATTAAACACCATTTGTATGGGTCCTTTATATTCGTAAGCAACTGAAAGCATTTCGTAAAAAGAATTTCACCTTGTTTTAATATGTTTTGGAACTTTTCTTGGTGTCATATCACATAGTACACAACGCTCGTTAAATTTCCTAATTCTAGCAGGTCTATGAGCATAAAAAATCCATAAAACAACATATTCAATTTTCATACAACCACAATCAAATAATGAAATACCATCTTGTACAACTAAATTTAATACATGTGCAACACATCTAACATGAAAATCATTGGTATCAATTGAACATAATCTAATTTTTAACATACTAGCAGCGTTTGTATTATTAGATGCATTATCTAATGCGACAATCATTACTTTATCTAAAAACATGTAAAAATCTAAAACACTCAAAATATTTGAAGTTAAATATGCACCAGTTTTTTTCTCTACACATTCTTTATAACTTAAGATTCTTTTTTGCAAATTCCAGTTATGATCAATCCAATGTGCTGTAATAGTTAAATAATCATATCCATTAACACTACGACCCATGTCCGAAGTTATAGACATTCTACAATCTAATATGCTAAATAAACAACGAAGATATTGACAATGTTTACCTTGATATAAAAAACATCAGATTTAACAGTATTTCTTGAAACACCATTAAAAGAAGGATTATAAGTTTGTTGAATATATTTAATAAAATCGGGATGTAGAAGGAAAACTATAAGGCAAACCACAAACAGAAATCATCTTAGCTAGATTTTCGCGATCTCTTTCCTTATTATATTTACATTGTGTTAGTGGACCACCGGGGTTAGAAGGATCTAATGTTCCTTGAACCATGTTAAAAGCACCTAATTACCAAAAATTAATTGTGAAAAATTAAATATAAATATTATGAAACGAATGTACCAAACGTCTACGTTAATAACATACGTTATAATCGATTCTTGAAGCTTGTAGTTTGATGTAAGTTGTAATTTGGAACTTCAATACTTGATAGTAAATATGAGAATTAATATATATATATATATTATGATATAATATGAGAATTTATAATTGAAAATTAAATGGAATCAAGAATTAAGATTTAAGAATGAGAGGATATAGGAAATAGATGATTTTGTAAGAAATAATGAAGGATAGAGGGTATTTATAATATTAAAAATGGATTAAAGTATATTTATTATAACTTTAGGGTTTAAATTAAAGTTTTAAAAGTAGGGAGGTGGTAGGGGAAGTAAAAAGGCTGATTATATCAGTTGG